ATAAGATAATATTCTGACATGAGCTCTTTGTTTCAATTCGCAAGCAGCACTTTAGTGACCATATCTTCCACTATTCGTCCTTATTTGATGCGTTTAACTTCTAAGGAGGGATTCACTCCAGAATTGCCTTCTCATTAAGTACTTGCAACAGATTAAATCTGTCTTTCCATATTTCCGCCTTTTCAATTCAGTGCTTCGATATTCTCGTCCGTTACTTCGTAATTTTGGCGTAATTGCTCTTCAGAAACTCGACTCTAATCGCTAGCTATTACAAAAATTTTCATTCCACTTCGCAATAACTCTACGAATAATATGAGATGTATTCACCCTATATCGTTTAAGGTGATGAAGGAATGGTAGTTGAATAATGTTTGCTATCTTCTGTTAGCTGTGCCGTTGTGTCAGTAAGTGTCCATGAATCCCGTGCATCTTCTCCTCTCTTTGAGGGTCTGTTTTTCGATTTGCTGTTGCGCTTATGTTTGTTTTTCTCTTTTTTGTTCTAATACACAGGCATATATATTCATTTATGCATCCGCAAATGCTTATATACATTTTTATCAATTTGTTAGGATTCGTTTAAGGAGCTGTCTTTCTTTTAGTTAGATATCCAAACCAATCTTTTCACTGTTATACTTCAAGACATTTTTCTTTTAATAAGACTAGCACTTTTTATTTAAAGTCAACTCATGCTATTTGCTGCATTGCGTTTGGCAGTTTGTCGATGCTTTGATCTATGCATCCATGATGTTGTTCTCAATGTCTCGTTGGCATTATGCTAACCATAGAGGAGCACAGTCAAACGAACTTTTAGCATTGGCCGAAGTTTGTTAGGCAAAAAGCGACCAGAATTGTGAATGTCATATGCTTTTAACGCGATTGTTAGAACGCGAAAATAGTTTACGCTAAAAGGCTTTAGCTGAAGACTATGTGGTCCCTTTATGCACAACGGTGGCGCTGGACGAATAGGCGCTAGGCCTCAGCATTCCTTTCAGAGGACTTATATCTCCCCAAAACTTACCAAATTCATCTGCATGTTCAAGGTCCATGCCAAGCATGTCTAGTTAGGCGAAGGATAGTATGATTGTGATCGTATGTACTTGATTGAGGGGTCTTTAAGGTGGAATGAGCTGTCAAGAAGGCATAGCAAGTTGATCAGTTTTCATGTCGAAATTCTGTCCTACTATAAGTTCTTTTTCAACACTGGATAATCTCGTGTTCATCTAGTGAAGTGGTAGAAAATTAACCCACTCATTGGCTGGTTCAAGCCTTTACTCAAACTAGAAGAACATCACACACGAAGACGTCTCTTGATAAGTAAAGGCGTCTTTGATTCTGGATTGGCTTGAGGGCTGAAAATTATGGAATAAACGAGATATTTTCTTGAAGCCTTTAGTGAACACCTTGACCTTGGCTAAAATAGGGTAATGAGATGTATTCACCCTATTTCGTGTAAGGTGATGAAGGACTCGTAGTAGAATTTTCCCACAATGA